CTGCCACTGGACAATACCGCAGCGGTACCTCGAGCCCCACCCGCTCTTACCACGGGCTCCCTGGCGAGTCTGCTTTGCCTTCTACAGAGCTTGAAGATCCTTTCATCGATCCTCCTCTGAGCGCTCAGTCCTTCGATGCCCCCGTTACCAACCTCAACATCGGAAGTGCTGAGCAGAGCGACTGGGAAGGAGCTTTCAGCGACGAGGAGCAGGCCAAGCTCGAGCAGCGTGTGCAATTCTTTGATGGCCGTGTCAATGACCGTGTCAACGACCTTCTTGCTACCCGCCTCGCTCCCATGGAGAAGGTTCTGCTCTCTATCCAGCAGTCCCTCCGTGGCGGTTCGCGCAGGGCGTCTTCCTCTGTTCGTCGCAGTGTCTCGGCAGAGATTCAGCACAGTGATGCTGACGACGAGGATGAGGAGCCTGTGCCTCGTCGCTCTATGAGCCCGCGCCGCGACAGACGTATGGAGCACATCCGTGCCGCCGTACTGGATGCTTTCGCAGTCCAGCAGCGCAACATTCCTACTCCTGCGGCTCCTGTCGCAGCCTCTATTCCCGCATCTGACGAGACCAGTGCCGCCGTCCTCCGTGCTTTGGAAGAAATGAGAGAGCAGTTTGGCGCTTCGATGCGTCTGGACTTCCGTGGCGAGGACCTCCGCAACATTGTCGAAGAAGCCGTCGAGAAGCGCATGCCAACCCCATCTCAGCTGCCTGCGGCTGACCGCGAATCCGATGAGGCTGTCAACAACAAGCTCAGCGAGCTTCAGGCTAAGGTTATCGACCTCGAGGAGCGTCTTTACGCCGAGCAGACTAGAGTTGAGAAGGAGGTCGCCGACCGTCGTGACGCTCAAGATCTCGCATCCGAGCTTGAACGCAAGCTGCAAGCAGCAGAGTCTCGTGTTGAGATTGAAATCATGAATCGCAGCATTTTCGACAACCGCATCAACGACTTGGAGGAGAAGCTCAAGCACCAGGAGGAGAGAGCCCAGCAAGAACTTGAGGGCCGCCGTACCGCCGAAGATAGACTTTCCGAGGTCCAGCGCTTGCTTCGCATCGCCTCTGAGGAGGAGGTCCGCCTCCGTGAGGATGTTGAAGAGCGCGAACACAAGATCAAAGCGTTCGAGCAGAGCACATCCAACCAGACAATGCGCATGGCGCTTATGGAGGCCGCGCAGACGAGTGCCACCCAGTCGCAGACTGAGCTTACGAACAAGATCAACCAGATGGAAGATGAGCTTCGGGCTTCTACGCACGAAGCCAACCGCTGGAGATCCGAGGCTGAGCGCGTCGTTGAAACCGCCCGCCGCCAGCAGATCGACCTCAACGAGACCGTTAACGAGAACAAGCAGTTGCAGAAGTTCCTTGATACCCTCGGCACTCAACTGCAGGAGAACGAGCGCGTCAGAGAAAGCTGGCGTGCCAGGTTTGTTGCCCTCCAAGACGACATGGCGCATGCAGCTCGCGAGGTCACTGAGGAGAATGCTCGTCGCACTAAGCGCGAGCAAGCCCTCGTTGCCAGACAAGAGGTTCTCGATGCCAAGCTCCAAGCCGAGGCACGCACTCGCGAGCGCATTGAGACCGAGCTTGAGCGTCTGGAGAGTGGCGAACGCCAAGGCATGCGTGCTGTCAATGAGTGCAAGCGTCTTGAGGGTATCCTTGGTGAGATGAAGACCGAGAACCACAAGCTGCACCAGTCCGCTCTGAGATACCAACGCGAGTTTGAAGAGGCCAGAGAGTCCGGCGCAAGCGAGGTCCAACGCACTCGCGTCGCGATGCAGCACGAGATTGACCAGGCCAACCACCATGTCAATGTCGTTCGTGAGGAGCTTGAGGAGCAGATCGCTAAGCTCCGCGCAGACAATGACCAGCTTACCATGGATATGGAGACTTCCAAGGCTCAATCCGAGATGATGGCCGAGGCTGCTCAGGCCAGCGAGAATCAAACCATCGAGGAGCTCAAGCGCAAGCACCAGAACGAAGTTGAGGATATCCAGGCTCGCTGGGAACGACAACTTAACAATGCCGTCGAAGACGCCCAGAAGACGGAGCAGAACCTGCTTGAGCGTCTCAGCCTTTCTACTTCCAAGACTGAGCATCTGCAAGACCGCATTGCTCATCTCGAGGAGAAGGTCGAGATTGCCAGGGAGGCTGCCCGTGCTGCTGTTCAGGCGGCCAAGTCAGCCGGTGTAGAGCCAACTCAGACTTTGGCTGCCCTTCAGCCCAAGGCTGCTGCACCCGTTGCCGCGCCCGCTGCTGTGTCCAGGGGCATGGAGCTGCCGGAGAAGATCTCGCCGCAGGCCCTTCGCGAATCTATCATGGTCCTGCAAGAGCAGCTTCAGGCTCGCGAGCAGCGCATCGAGGAACTCGAGTCCACCGTCGACAAGCTTGATCCCGAGGCCCCCGCCAAGATCACCAAACGTGATGATGAGATCACCTGGCTGCGCGAGCTTCTTGCTGTCAGACATGGCGACCTACAAGACATCATCCTGTCGCTTTCCGCACAAGACTTCGATAGGGAGGCTGTTAAGGACGCCGCCATCCGTCTCAAGGCGAACCTCCAGATGGAGGAACAAGAGCGTGAACGTGCCATGAAGGGCGGATCTGCCATCAACTTGCCCAACATTGCGCAATCTCTGAGGGAAGCTGCGACGCCGCGGGTTGCTCAGGCTGTCGGCCCCTTGGCTGCCGCCTGGGGTAATTGGCGCAAGTCCCAGGCGCCCGCCTTCAGATCTGCTGGCGCACCCGCTCGCCCTTCATCTTCTCGCTCTGCCTTCAACAGCAATCATACCCCATCCAGATCCACCTCCTCGGCATCAGCCAATAACGGTCTTCTTGGTGGACTGCTCACACCCCCAGCATCTGGCCTTCGCCAGACCCCTCCTGCGCACACGGAGGAGCCTCAACCTACGGCGTTCCAGACCACTGGCCGCCGATATACTCCGCAACAACTGCAAGCACGCGCCCGGGGACCTTCCGTCACCAACGGACCGTCGGTGTTGATGAAGAGCCCGCCTGCTCATCGTCCATCAAGCCAACACCAACCCATGACGCCTCCGCCGCCAATGCTGCGATCCAGCGGCTACGACTCGGATGCTCACCCGGGCGACTTTGACGACCATGACTTCTTTGAGGATTAAGAAGTTTCCAGTCGTATCAGTGGAAATGTGGAGGATTTCCTTTGTCTTTCGCACCGCAGTCAATCTTTGACGCCGCATGCTTTTGAGCCCAAGACTGGACACACTAGAATGATGATACCCCCTTTTTCGCAAGACAAGTACTACAACATCCTGCTGAGAAGATACACATACAACACTCAGATGATGGACACACTGCCCTTTCTTCATTTCTCCGAGACACGAAACTATTTGTTGTTTGGGGACATCAAGGGAGAGGTATTAAAGTAATTTTCCTTTGTACTTTCCTGATGCATAGCGGGAAAAGAAAATGACGATGAATGGAGGATGGATCGATTTTGCAAGGGGAGGCCTACAGGTCGCTCGCTTTCACGCCTGTCTTTGCGTTTTGCCTACACACTACTACAACTACACAAGACGTATATAGTAATAATTTGCCCGCCCGAATTGGCTTTAGCTCAATAGAGACTGATGATTCTCTCGTTTAACAACTGCCTTGTCTGATGTATTGTGTGGAGTGCCCGATCGTCGATTCTATCTTGGCTACTAAACGGCTGCCTAGACGGTCGAACATGGCGGCATAAACTAATCAACCAAATCAACGAAGACTGGATGCGCGAACCACGAAGCTTGACAGACTCTGACGAACGGTCCAGGCAAGGGAGCAAACATTCAGATCGGCGGGACGGTCGCAGCCGCCCTCTGCGGCGGAGGATTCCTGCGGCTATGCCGGGTGGGTACAGCCGTTCCTGATGCAATGCCGATCGTTTGAAAACAAGGCCACGCTTGTAAGCGACGACGCTCCACCCAAGTGTGTATCTTGAGCATGAATGACCATGATTGGCGCTGGGAACGAGGCGAAGGCTCGGCCCCGGGTTCAGCAGGCACCATCATTGTGCGGTTCGTGGTTGGCTTTCGCGTTGGTTGTGGATCGAGACCGAGCTCGTTCCTGTTGATCGATTGCCAAGTTTTCTCTTCTCGTACTCAGCTCTGCCTACTTTGGACAAGAGATTCAAATGCGCGGCTGGGGTCGCGATCCTGGCGTCGGGTACGGCTCGGGAGTTAAGATGCCAAGATATGTGTTGAGGTGCCCTTGTTTGCGGTCAGGTCGCAGATGCGGCTACGAAGACAGGCTATGTATGATTGGAAATAACTATCAGTGATAAAGTCGAAGTCATGTCAAAGCAAAGGTTATGTTCGCAACACTTTGATGGCGTTTGATGCTTTGGTAGCTCTTAGCACGAACTCAAAGAGTCGTGGCAATATACTTGGCTTTTTGGACAGGAGTATTAGCACAGGGACCGCGTGCTGTTGGATTGATAATTGCACCGCGCGATGGCCATGTAGTTGCTCCCGCCATACAACCGTTTCCCACAAGTGGATAAGAAAACTGGGTGAATGACTCCTTCAGTGGATCGCGAGGCTTATTCTGTTCCATGTGGTCTGCCATCACGGTCAGTCGTTCTCTGTCGTATCCGCGTGTATGCCTCATTGAGATCGTCGATGAGTCTTCTCCAGTTTTCCCCCTTCGCTGATGGCAGTCTGGTCTCACTAGAGATGTTGTCTAACTTGTACTAGGCAACAGAAGGACTTCCTTTGGCGGAGAACGTCTCCTTGCGATGCGCTAGGCACCGAGTTGAGTTGAGAAACATCACGATGCTATGATATCAGCTTATTGAGCTTCGAAGACGTCGGGCAAACGGGGATTGACATCCTTCAAAGTATTTAGCAAGCAGAATAAACGTATAAAAGCCTGTGTCAAGTCACGGAAAGAAGACATCTCAGTATCAGCAACAACTCTACACTCTTCACTCTTCATCCAGCTTTAACCACACACCTCTCATACAAACACATATCACCATCACAATGTCTTCCATCCGCAACCTCTTCCTCGGGCTCCTCAGCCTCTCCGCCACCACTTACGCCGAGCACCTCCGCGTGGTCTGGTCCTCGGGCAGCTTCTCAACCATCAGCGGGCCCGGCGCTGGCTCCCAGAGCGGGCACTACAGCGGCTTCGCCATCATCAACGACAACGGCGATGCCATCTACGACGACTCCACCCCGAGCGACCACTCGCCCTGCTACAACACGGGCAACGGCCGCACCTTCACCATCGAGGGCTCCTGCTGGGACACCCCGCGCGTGTTCCACTGCAAGTCCGACTTTGGCGGCATCCCCGAGACGTGCGACGTCAGCACCAAGGACGGCAACGAGCTCGGCAGCGGCACGCAGCAGAAGGACACCGAGTTCATTGGGATTTCTATCGGCATCGACGGCAGCTGTGTTGTCGAGTTTGACTCGGACGGACCCGGCTGCCCTGTTGATGACGGCAACGGCCCTCTTCACGTTACCTCTGGTTAGAGGACGAGGCTTTCGGAGGTGAAAGGTCTGGGCTCTTGACATGGATCGATACGAGAGAGTGTGGGGCTTGCGGAACAAGTCTAACTAGACCTAAGGAGACTTCGCTGTCATAATTCTGACTTGTCTGTTTCGTACACATTCTTGTGCCGGCTGGAGAGCAGCTGCGCTTAGTTACCACTGCTTTGAAACATGAAACATATTAAAACGCATAGATGAGCTACATTGAGTCCCAGACACAGTAGTGGAAATATCGTGCTATGCCCGATGAACAAGATGTCTAAGTGCACTTCTATGTCCAACCACGAAATATGACTATCAAGGATTATCAACAGCAAGTAACGTGAGGCATTTGTCAATGACTTGGGCAACCACAACTCTTCAATAAGCGACCTCAGTCATGCGATCCGGCCTGGTAATCTTGCTTTCCAGGGCAGGCCAACCACTGGTTCTCTGTGATTTGGGAAGTGAATCGGATGGTCATGAGAAGGGATCGTTGAAAGACTCGCGGAGATCGGGGCTTTTGAGAACATCAGTTGGCATCTTGCTCAAGTCCCTCAGATTCTACATCTTTCCATCACTTCAAGTGTACAAAAGCAGCCAGGTATCCATCTTGTTGTCGGAGCGACTCGCTCACCGCATCGTGAGGGATATCCTGAGCACCGTTCCCGAAGTTATAATGAGTCGCCCGCACACTGCTGATCCTGTCCCGGTTGGGGATGAAAATTTTACGAGCTCAGAGATGCAATTGTTTCGACTTTGGAGGTACAAGATGGTTGGTCTCTGCGCTTGGATTGTATGGTAGCATCATAGCACAACTACCACAAATTCACCATAGAACATTCCATGGTCCAAGTCGTTTTCGTCGTTTCAATTAAGAATCTTGGCATCATGTTTGTTGATGCTAAATTCCTCGCCGGCTCCGCTTGGGGTATGTTGTCGTGTGCCGTCACGGGTCTTCGTAGCCGGCGTCCCCGCCCCCGCCGCCCGGAACGAGCATCGGGGGGGGAATACAGGGGCGATTTGCCCCACTACGAATTCTGGCTGCTCTTGACTCAAGAGTCAACACGACTGGCAGTTCAGATAGTGTTCATTTAAAGTTCCAAAAATCCCCATAAGGAACTCAGGATATGCCTGACTGGTGATTGGTGCACAGAGGATTTAAATAGGCATGTCCTTGGTCTTGGCAATCTACGAATGTACCGGGCGGGCCGGCTTGGCGTTGGGTGGTATTATTTTCGTGACATATCGGGCAGGCCGATTCACTGGCGCTGATCTGAACGTTTCTTGCTCGTCTGTGGCCCCTTTGCTGTGTTTTGGGTGTTGTGAATTTCAGTATATAGCTTCATACTGCTTCCTTCAAGTTGGCGAGGTTGAATGATCACACGACACTCGTTCTCTCATCAATCTGATCTGCTTAACTCAATACACTCTTTTTTCCACACTTAACACATCCTAATAATCAACAATGGCGAGAATTCTCGGTTTTCTGGCGGTCCTGTTGATGTACGTTGACTTCCGGTATCTTTCTTTTGCAACTGAGGACTTAACTCTTCCAGGGCGGCCAACGTCAACGCTGCCAAGCACCGCCTCTGTGCCTGTATCACCGACCAGGGCGCCATCGGCATGCAGATCGACGAAGAGGCCTCAAAGGCTGTCGTCAAGGGATCAGAGGGAAGATTCGTTTACAGTAAGCTCTTCCCAACCCAAGATACCCCTGACAATGCCACTGACCAGTTCCCATAGGCGACGGTCCTTGGTTCACGGACCCTCTTATCCACGACGCTCCCTACAGCGGCCCATACGTAAGTTTTTCTCGTGCAGTCATTGATGGCGCATTGCTGATGATAGACAGTTCCACGCTATTGATGGCGACGTCAACGGTGCTAACGATGACGGATGGCTCGGCGGTAACGAGGTTCACGGACTTTGCGGCAAGCAGTTTGCTGAGAGCTCTTGCTGGACGCCCTCAGACATGTTCAACTGGCGCGGTTGTGGTGCAAGCCAGGTCTGCTGGACCTCGAAGGCCGACAGAACTGATGGTTTCGGAACACCCTTGCCCCCCGCTTAAGAGGCCAAAAGCGAGATGCACTTATACGTATACCCCCATAATAACGGCGTTCAAAATAGATTCTGGGTTTTCAGTTAGCATTTCGATCTTTATTGATGAATTGATTGGAGTTTTGACAGGTGACTCTACTCAGCAAGTGCGCCGAATAGCCACGTACCAAATTGAACACCAGTCTCGGCCTGGCAGCCCAACGTGTTAACATACATGACGTCTCGGTAGGAAAGGCAAGAACAGTAACATGCACCTAAGATACTTTGAGTTACTACGAAAGTGAAAACTCCTGCATCATCTATTGTCTTTATCTAAGAAGGAGTTGCGGCAATGTTATTCGGCGAAGGTAATGGGTGTACAATGGTTCTCTAGCACACTCTTCCAACCACATGTCAGTGTTCATGTAGCCGGCCGTTCTCGTCGAAGTTGCATGTTCTAGTGTGCGTGTCCATGTCCACAACCCTGGCGCTTCCTCATTCTGACAACCTCGGCGCGTCCCTGGGTGTCGAGATGCTCACCGTGGAGCCCGCCAATCACTCTGCGGGCCATCTTCGCAGTAACGGCGTTGTTATTGGGGAACTTGGGCGCGATGTCTCTCCCAAAAGTAGACTGCGCACCGTCCTCGAGGTACACAATTTCACCCCCGAGCATTGTAAGCAACACCTTGTTACGCCCGAGCTCCTCATCGGGCACTTCAAAGAAGTTTTTCTCGGTGACGATGATATCCGCAAGTTTGCCAACCTCGAGAGAGCCAATTTGCTCATCGGCCCTCAAGAGTTTGGCTCCGTTGATGGTGGCTCCCTTCAGGACGGACTCGCGGGAGATACCTCTGCCAGGGAACGGTCCGTCATAAAGCTCGCTGAATGATGCGGCAGAGTTGGGGTTGGATGGGTCACCCCGGCGCGTAACACCGGCCTTGAGTGCCAACCACACATCAAGGGGATCGACCTAAGGTCACAAATCAATCGTTTGAACTTCAAACAAAATATTTCGAGAAGGAACTTACAGGCCAGTCGCTACCGTGCACTGTGGGGCGTCCAGCTGCTTCGATCTGTGCATAGGCATCAAGGTTGCCCATGCGATATTCGCCAATGCTGTTGAATGTGTCCGGGATCCACATCGGAGCTAGTTGAGAGAACTGGTATTGGAACACCACATCAACGCCGAGCTCCACGAACCGAGGCCAGTCTTCCTCAAGTGTAAGACTGGCGTGGGCGAGAGCGAGGCGAATCGGGGGAGCATGGGGGTGATTACGCCGGAAGGCATCTGCAGCATCCAAGCTAACGTGAACGGCTCGGTCGCCATCAACATGGAGTTGTGCATCGACGCCGCTCAGCCACAGTTCTTCCAAAGTCTTGGCCAAGATCTCAGGGTCCCAGTACAAAGGGGCGATAGCACTAGGATCAGGTGCCCATTCCTGCGTGGCGTTTGTGCCGTTGCGTACAGGGAGCCAGAATGGATCTGTGTTTGCTGCTGTGCGGGCGGAGTAGGGCATGATACCGTCCAACAAGGCTTTGATTGCCTGCCATTTGAGAGTTGGTTGGGCAGACACGGTGGAGTTGTCATTTCGAGACGCGAGTAGGGCGATGGTTTCTGCAACGACGGCGTCGACAGCCTCTAATGTCGGTGGTGGCTGGACGCGGTAATCAAAATAGCCACGCGAGCTGAGCTCAGAACTTTCCTTGAGAATGTTCCAAGGGCCCCAATGCTCGTTGGTAGCTAAGGCGTCTTGCCAAGTGGTGATTCCGTTCTGCCGAAGAATCTGGAGCGCGGCACGCCCAGCTTCGGCGTTTTCCTCGTCAGTGAAAGCAGGAGGGCCAGCAATTAGGATGTTGGCGCCGTCGAGAAGAACACCAGACGGCTCTTGTGAGTCCGGAAGGTGTTCAATTACACCGCCAGGGGGATTAGTCGTTGCTTCGGTGATGTTGGAAAGCTCCAGTGCACGAGAGTTGAGAACGAAGGTGTGGTAGTCATTCGACCGGAGAGACATAGGCCGGGTCGTGTTGAGTGTATCAAGGTCCGCTTTGGTAAGGCTTTCTCCGCTGAGAACCATGGCAATGTAGTTGAGATTAACAGCGTCAAGCCAAGTGTCTTCAGCAGTGTCATCGGTGTCTATGCATTCCTGTAAATGGTCCAGGACCTGCTGACGACTGAGGCGTTGGTAGTTGAAATCGCATTTGAGGAGGTTTTGTCCCGCCTGCAGCACATGCATGTGCACGTCGACGAATCCAGGCATTGCCATGCGGCCTTCTAGGTCAAGAATTTTGGTATCATTCCCAATCAAGTGCCGGGCCTGAAGGTCATCGCCAACGTAGATGATTGTGCCATTTTTTATGGCCAGAGCGCTGGCCTTCGTTGAAGAGGAGTCCAGGGTGTAGATGGAACCGTTTTGGAAAATGAAGTCGGCGACATGAGGCAGAGCTTGTTGACGAGTTTGATGCTGGTCCACTGAGGAAGGCGTCTTGCTACTGGCGACGAGAACAGCACCGCTAAGAAGCGGCAGTACCAATCTCATGGTGGGAAGTCTGATACGAAGGTCAAGTGCAATTTTATGTGATTCAATGGAGGATGTAGAATGGTGATGGGATCAAACTGAGAGTCTGCTGATATTCAAGCCTGGACATGCTCATTTATATCTGATCAACACCGCCTCTGAACTTCGGAACTTTTTTGATTCATCAAATCCATTTGATCTCCTAAGCCTGGCGATCTCGGGCTGTGCCAGCACTCTTGACAGCAATATCGCACAATCGCTCTGTTCATAACGCGATCGATGAGTCTCAACAGGTAAGCCAAGACTTACTTGCGTACTCTCGCGATTGTAACTGGTGTCAACTCCAGCCTCCGCAGTATCCTGTGCTTTCGAGACAGGGATTCATCCGTGGTTTATGTGCAGTTCCCGCGCGGCAAGTATACAAGGAGATTTCTCAAGCGTCAGACC